GATGTGATAACTCAAATGATAAGGGCATCAGTTTGCGAATCACTTAGATTACAAATTGATCCCAAACAATCAGCCTTCACCGTTTTCAACAGCTTGAAAGCTCTATTTCACTTTCCTACTTGTTCTACTCACCTCAGTTTATGGAAAGAGATACTTCAATCTAAAGTAGATTCACCAGATGCAGTAGCAGCTCACCTATCAAAGATGAAAGCTAAGATTGAAGAATTACAACGAACCGGTTTTCTCTTTACCAAAGATTCCTTTCTTAGCGTCGTTATGCAACTCGGTCTGTCTCAACAATTTGCGAACGTTAATACCATCTTGGACTCCAGATTGCGTAACAGCCCTGATACACCAATCACATCTAGAGAGACTGAAGAGGCGATCTGCAATGAAACTCATCGATTGACGGAGTCGGCAGTTGATTTATTACCGAACATCTCAGCTTTGAACATCAACAATCGAAAGCCTAGAGTACAACCGCCGGCGAGTCCACCATCTCAACGACGTTACCAAACCCCAACTCAGAGTTCAGGTAGAACGTACACATCTAAGTTGAACTTCAAGGTCGGCCCAAACACACCAGCCCACCTGAAGAACTGTTTTGACTGTGGTGGCGAACACTGGTCTAAAACGCCTCAATGCCCCAAGTCACCAAATTACGATCGTGAACTAGCTCGACAAGATTTTTCCCAACAATCTCCATCCAGAGGCCCTTTCAGAGCGAACGTCGCTGACGCATGCCACGGATTCAATATATCCTCCCCACTACCTCACTCGGTCTACAGTACTGAATCAGCTGTCACTGAAGATTGGCATCAAGGCGAGGCGATACTAGACTCTGGCGCTACACACCACGTGACCAATGAGGTGGGTGCTTTGATCAACTATACCACCTTGTCAAAACCAATTCCTCTCCACGTAGCAACTGAATCAGACGGAAATTTCCTTACAGGAACTGGGTCATTGAACTTCTGAAGTGATGATGGATCTCCTGTTTTGATGCACAATGTCTATTACTGTGAACGGGCAAAAGGCACATTAATTTCATTGGCTGCTCTGGTGGAGGAAGGGAATACTTTTTCAATTTCTGGTCTCAACTTGTCTCTAAACTTAGGATCTCATGTCTTGACTTCTATGTACAAGCAAAGAAGATGGCTGCTGCCTATGTTTACCCCGTGTGAACTCAACCATGAGCCCGACATCAAACCACCACCAGTATCAACTTGCCGAACCTACACCGTAGAGCAGAGCAATGAGGCCCTCAAGTGGCATAAACGTTTTGGTCACGTTGGATTGAGGGTGGTGAAGCAATTGTTAAGCAAGGAGATGATGACAGGACTTCCCGAACAGATTGAAAACGCACCATTCACCTGTTCTGACTGTCTGCTTAGCAAGAGTCTGAGACATCAAACGCTGGGTCCGTTGGGAAGAGAACGGCCCCAACCGCTTGAATTGATTGTCTCAGATATTGCAGGACCTTTTGAAGCTGGATCTTTTGGCTACCGCTACATGCTCACTATCCGAGACGTGGCTACGACATTCACCGACGTGACAATCCTGAAGTCAAAAGACCAAGCACCTGGAGCTCTCAAGGATTTTGTTGCAAAAATGGAACAACAAACCTCGAGGAAGATCAAAACGCTACGGACCGACGGAGCTGGAGAATTCACCTCAACCACTTCCGTCGCTTGGCTGAAATCTCAAGGCATCACCAAGGAAAAGACCCTACCTTACGAGCACAACCAGAACGGCTGTGCCGAAAGATCTATCCGCACAGTAGGTGATATGGGTCGAACCATGCTGATAAGCTCAAAGTTACCCCGACACTTTTGGTGTTTCGCTTACCTCACTGCCGGCTACCTTCACAACGTACTACCAAACGTGAACACTAGAGATCAGACCCCATTCGAGCTTTTATTCGGTGTGAAACCACACCTTGAGGGACTACGCACGTTTGGAGAAGAAGCCTACGTTCATATACCATCTGAGAGACGTGGAAAACTTGAACCACGAGCTCAAAAATGTACGTTCATAGGTTATGTAGCAGGTAGTAAAGGGTGGAGGTTTTACAACTTTGATTCCAACAAAGTCGTCGAGTCTTCTATGGCTGTTTTCACGGAAGACAAGACACCGATGTTAGAAGCCACACCCGATTCGAACCTATCCAAAGGTAGCTTAACTCATATCCTAAATGCTCTACAACTTGGTGATTTCGACGCTGAGGAGGCTGTGATGCAACAAGACGCTCTCGTAGCACAAGTCAAAAACGCCCTGAAGGATGGTGATCCTACCATACCAAAAACCTACGCGGAGGCCATGAGAAGACCCGATGCAGATAAGTGGATGGAAGCATGCAAAAGAGAAATGGATCAATTTGATGAGATGGGTGTGTGGGAAGAAAGTGACTTGCCTGCTGGAAGAAAAGTAACACAAGCCAAATGGGTATTTGACATCAAATCTGACGGAACTTACAAAGCCCGGTATGTTGCGAAGGGTTTTACCCAGATTGAAGGTATCAATTTCAAGGAGACTTTTGCACCTACCGCCAGCTTCGCCGTACTGAGGATGCTAGTAGTTGTTGCCGCGATGCTCCAATGGCACACCCTCAAATTCGATGTCACCACGGCCTACCTTCACAGCGATATGGACGAAGACATCTGGGTCCTACCTCCTCCTGGCTATGGTCATCGATCGAGAGTAATGAAGTGCTTGAAAGCTTTATATGGAACGAAGCAAGCTGGGAGATGTTGGTGGAAGTTCATAGCGGCCAAATTAGAAAGCATGGGATTCACGCCAAGCCAGTTCAATATGAGCTTCTATATCTTTCGACGAGGGAACGATACGTGTCTCCTCTGGTTGCATGTCGATGACGGTGCGGTTACAGGTAGCAGCATCCCCTTACTGCGTGAGATAGAACAAGGCTTACACGCTGAGATCAAAATCAAATGGGGGACTGAGCTGAAATCGATGGTGGGAGTTGAAATCAACTGAACCTCACCTTCTACTTTTGAACTGTCACAACCCAAGCTCACGAACCAAATCATCTCTGACAACGCCGACCTTCTTTCCGTACTTAGCGCTGAAAACCCGATTCAAGTATTGACAAGACTTGAGACCTGCTCGTCTTATCCACCGGTAGATGGGGGGAGATACTTATCTATCATTGGATCTTTAAGTTACTTAGCTGTTGGCACCAGACCCAATCTGTCTTACTCGGTCAACTTCTTAGCAAGATATGCAAAGACACCTCAAGATGCTCATTGGAACGCTTTGAAACACCTGCTACGATATTTGCGGAATACGGCAGGAATGGGACTAATTATCAATCCCAAGGCGAACAAATACCGAGCACCGATGGAAACATTTGTGGATGCGAACTGGGGAGGAGAATTCGGGAGATCATCTTACGGTCATGTAACACAATTGTTTGGGGTACCTGTGGCTTGGGTAGCGAGGAGACAGGCTTGTGTGGCGACTTCGACTTGTCATGCGGAATTCATGGCAATAGGAGCTGCTTGTAGGGATTCGGTTTGGCTACACTCACTGGCAGCGGATATGCTTCCAGACTTACCATCACCTTTATTACTTTGTGACAACTCATCATCAGTACATGTATCAAAGGACAACTCCGCGAACAAAAGAACTCGACATGCAGACAGAGAATATTATTACATAAATGAACAACTATTTAAGAAGAAAGTCAACATTCAATGGATACCAGCAGCCGAGCAAGTAGCAGACGTGTTTACCAAACCCTTAGGACCAACTAAACATAGGGAAGCTGTTAAAATGCTGGGAATGAGGGCTTAGTTTTTTTTATTTTTGTTTCTTGTTTTGTTTTTTCTATTTTTTGTTTTCTTTTTGTGGAGGTTTTTGTCTAGTCCTGGGGGGGAGTGTTGAGTTTTAGAGTCTACTGTACATGACTAGACTAAAACCTTGTACGCGTAGTAGCATAGTCTTGTACTGGGGGTAGCAGTTTGGTTAGATAGCGCTCGCTCCACCCGATCTGTTCCGTTTCTTCACCATCGAAGATTGGAACTGTTCTCGGATGGGGTGAAGCGACGAGCGCTGACCTTTAGCTTTAACAGGTTAGTTAGCTTTGCAAGACCATCGAAGATTGGAACTGTTCTCGGATCGGGTGAAGCGACGAGCGCTGACCTTTAGCTTTAACACGCTCGACGCCTCGCGAGGATGCGCGAGCGTGGGACTTTGCTAAGTTTAGTCGAGGCTATGGAATTCTTTGACAGGGAGATTCTTTTCATCTCACGTGCTCACTTCTCTTGTCTGTTTCTGACAGCGCGCACAGACCACCTCGACAAAAAATCTTTGTCGAAGTGGCAAGCTTTTCGGGAACGACAGACCAAGGCCAGTGGCAGTGCTGTCCTTGACAACATCGTGTCTCTCACACCGTTTTCTCATAGCCCAACGGATCCGAATGTGACTTGTACCGTCAGACAGTCAAGACGCACTGCCACTCACCGTCCCACGGATTCGGCGAATGAAGCTCCGGATTTTCTGTTTGCATAAAGTCCGAGTCTCCAGGCAAGCTTTTGCGTCCGACTTCGGCAAGGAGAGCCCGTGCCTTGACCTCCACCTTCAGTCTCCCATCGAGGACCTCTCGGGAGTTGAGTCTCACATCAATGGCCTTATGAGAGAATGAAGTCTGTTTAAAATAGATCAGATTGACAATTTTTTTCATCATGATATCATCAGATATATGTGATGTAATAATTATAAACTCAAGAAAGTCGCACGCACGTATTGTTCCAATCACTGGGAGGATAATTCTGTCACTCGAATTTTGAATTTCGGCAATCTATGTATGAGATGTAGTGACATGAGTTGAGATGGCACATGCTGGTACATGGCTTATAATGAGCAGCTACCTTTGGTTGCGAAAGAGGTCGATATCCCCCCAGCTCATCACATAAATATCTCATCCTCACTGTACCTTTTGCTTCACTTCAGGATTGTTTCACCGTTGATATTTTTTTATAATGCTCGCCACCAGCTTTCCTATTGCCATTGCGGCCCTCGTGGCTATCGTGGCCAACCCAACTGTCAAGGCTACTGAGCATACTCTCTGCTTCAACTATTTCATGCAGAAGGATGGGTGTGTCTTTTCAACTGCTGATCCGCGTACTCGTTGTGATATCCATGGTCACCCTCCCAAGAAGGGTGTATGTGAGGTAAGGTTCATTCCTAATCTTTTCTTTGTCCGCCGCACATTCTGACCTATGGATTGTATCTTCAATAGCTCAAACCTCCTGCAGGGCAAACTCACCAACGTCGTGAGGAACATACTCTAGACCGTCGTTACGATACTCCTGAGGGCGCTCAAAGTGTTAGTATTATGCTATTTATTCTTCAAATCTATTTGAAACTAACTCGCATGTGATCTACTACAGTTTTTTGTTGCTGGTGGAAATGGAGTGAGTAGAAAGAGACTTTCTGGCTTGTCTTTCAATAACCAATAATTTTGATTTTTAGATCTGCGGTTTCTATGATACCAATAACCCCGGTGCTTGTCTTTGGACTGGAGCTGAGGACGCAGCAGGAAACCCGTTAGGAGGATGGTTAAATGAGTAAATATCACATAATTTCAAAAAGATTCAAATAAACCATTCTTGCAGATTTTTATTGACTTGTTCGTCAAATCAGCACGAAGACCTCGAATTGTGGCAAGTTTCTTTATATCATGCGGGAGAAACGACCTGAGACGGTAATCTATGTCCCCGTTGTTGATGGTTCGTCCTTGGTTATCTTACCGAAATGAGGAAGCGAGACAAACGTTGGGTATCATCTAAAGATAACTCTCGGTTCTTTTCAGGATGTGACTTTGGTGTCAAAACCCCAGACAACGGATGTTTTCATATCGGTGTGACTAGAGCTGTAAGTTTCTGAATCTTGATCTTCAAGTTGAATGGTTGTATCTGACTTTGTGGTACTTGGATAGACTTTCTTTGCTCTTCAACCTACAGAAGAAGAGAAGAACCAAGGTTACCTTACTGGTCTCACCTGGGATTTGTGAGTATTTCAACTTTGGTTTGTTTCTTTTTGATTTTTGTTGATTTTTGATGTTTTGAAATCGACAGCGACAACCTCAGTGGTCAGCACACCCGAAATGGACCTGTTTAGAACAAGGTCATTCATTCCATGATGTGCTTAGTGATGCAATCAATATGACTTCCGCATTCAGTACACAACTGCCTATATGCCTGAACACGTTCAATGTACTCTCAGAATGACCTTAATGTTGACTGCTTGATAACACTCATCAGTCGTTTCCTCATTATCTTGTTTCCGCAATCCTTGTCTATTTCACCTTACTATCGTATTTTCCTAGTCTTCATCGATTTTTGTATTTGATGCCCTCGACATTCAAGTTTTGAGAGACATTCTAACCACGCAGATCACAATTTCACCTAGCCTTGCTGACCGCGATTGTTCTCAGGACTGAAGAGGACCAAGACGCCTTATGATCTTGGGTTCTAGTGCCTAGGTAGTAGGATCTTACTATATGTGTAAGACTTCAAAACGTGCATCCTGCATACGGTTTGACCGTGGTACAATTACGCCGTTCCATTCAGTGGTTGGTGAGGGTTTCTGGCAGGCAGGCAAAGAATCGAAAAAAGAGGGTACTGATTCAGGTGGTGGGCGCGCCTTTGAAGCAAAAAAAACATTAAAAACATACAAAAATCTTCTCAGAAACAGCAATCAAGGCTATGATGAAGCTCAAACACAAATGGGGATGTGGGAAGAGCTCTGTTTCAGGTCAAGATGACCACCCTTTCAAGATAACAATTACAGATATGTATGTTTTGTTGAAGAACTAAGTTAAGGGTCCTGCAACTCATGAGATGAACAACTGTTAGCGAAAAAATCTTACGTTTGGATGTTATAAGTCTCTTTGAGGGATATTTGAACCACTTCTGAACAACAAATCAGATCAGAACCTCAATCAACCTACAACCTTTACTCTGAATTCCGTTTTAAGAAACCCTTCCTTGTACTACGAGTACTCGCTCGACGATAGCTAGATTACCAGCTTCCAGGAGCTGTGGCTTCCAAGTCTGACACTTTTCATCTTTTGTCACTAATCAGAGTACCAAGAGCCCACCAAGTAAGGTACTGGACAACATAATTGAACAAATCTGAGTAAAAACAAATCTAACAATGAATAAAGTATTGCGTAGTTTGTATTAGATCATGATATTAAGAGGATCTGTCTCTTGATATATATGTATTATGGATTGGGGGCTCAAGCAGGATCGTTAAAAGAGTTGACCATTTTCTTTTGACAATATGTATGCAACCAAAACCACAGCCAGGCGCGCCTCAAGCTTGAACGCGGCCTTGAAACACAAAGATTTCAATGGATATAATCACATGTGAGACCTAGAATGGGAAAAGGCTTGAAGAGATTCTTTTGCGGATCCTCCAACCTGTAAGTGTTGTATCTAGGATCACTATAGTCTAAGAGACCGGGTTTGAGCTCATCTGAGTTTGGTAAACGATTCAAGTCAAGACTCGAACCCCAATTTACCTTGACTGTCAGCTCAGCCTCGAGGTTGACTGTTCCATAAATCACAGCCTTACAAGAGTGCTCAAAAAGAAAAGGCAACAAGGTATAAATACATTCTTTTGCCTGTGATTGAAACATAAATCACTCAAACTCATTCTTTGGTTCTCTTGATTCTCAAAACCATCAAATTCAAGAAACTAAAATCAAAAAGTTTTTACATTTAACCTTTTATACAATCCAAAACCCCATTCAACCAATTTTCTTTCTCTTTCGTCTCTCTCTCTCTCTCTTTCTTCCCAAAAGATGACCCAATGAAAAAAACATCGTTATTTTTTCCCAAATCAAACAAAGAAACCACAAATAGTTCACCAAGAATGTTCAATATCCAAAACGATTCTTTCGATCCATCTAGGAATCAACCAATCCCGACCTCTCAGCTCGACAATCAATTTCTTAGCCAATCCAATCTGACCTAATTCTTTTAATCTTCTCAATAAGATCCCATAAGAATCTAAATCTTTTCTACAAGAAGATTTAAAGAATTCCATGGCTTCTTGAATTTGATGTGTAGAAAGAAGTGTATCTAATAAAGCATGTTCGATCACTTCATTGATTTGATGTCCATGTGATTTCATTCGATCTATCAGTTTCATTGCTTCTTTAAACTTGGTACTCTTCAGTTGGTTCTCACTTGATCTGTATTCGTTCACATATGCTCGTAAGTAACCTTGAATTAGAGCAGTATACGTGATCGCAGTTGTAGCACTACATCCAACAAAATCAGTACTATAAAACACACAAACAAATCAACCAGCCAAATAATAATTTGAAAACTTACATTCCTTTCTGTTCAATCTCATCTACTAATCCAACAGCAATTTCAAGTTCTTCAAGTTGACCCGATCTACATAAATGATGTACGATCGAACCATAAGTGATCGCATTAGCTTTAAGACCTAAACTATCCATTAAGTTTAACAATTTCTTAGCCAAAGTTTGATCACCACCTAATTTCATTAAAACATTTAATAAGATTGTAAATGAAATCACATCAGGTTGAATTGAAATAGATTCAAATCTTTTTAAAACCATGAGGATTGAATTTAAATCATTAGATTTCGAATAGAAATTTAAAAAATGATTTAATGTAGTCGAATTTAATTTTGGATCACTCTTCTTGATGATCATCTTTTGGATTAATCCTTCAGCTCTTTCAATTAATTTGTATCGTAAAAGAGATGAAATTATTAAATTGAATCCTTCAATTGGAAACTGATTTGAAAGTTTAATCGATTCTTTATTAAGTAAGATTGAATCAATAGCTTCTAATCCTAAATCGATTGATTTACTTGAAGCAGAACTAAAAGAAGTACTGATCATTAAACATCTAATGTTTAAATCAGCTTCAAGTCGATCTTCAAGTCTCATTCGATCATAAAACCTTTTAGTCACTTCATAATCTTGTTTCCATATCGTTCCACGTAAGATTGATGCCCATAAATAAAGTGACATTCCTTTACAAGATTTGCGTACGAATCTAATCACTTCTTCTACTTTTTCTAGATCTCCTAATCTAGCAAACGTAGTGAGAAAGACACCAATGATCCTTTGAGTGAGTAAGATCGGTTTAGAAACTTTCTTAGGCGATTTCGATTTCTTCAGTTGGTCATCTTCTGATTGGTCTTGAATTAAACTCAATGGATCTTCTTCAACATAAATTCCATCTTCTATCAAATTAGAACTATTTAAATGAATCACAGGTTCTTTCCAATCTAGCTGAATCCAACCAGGTTCATCAGGCAACGAATCAGGTCCTTCAAACCCTTCACGAATCCTGTACCAAAGATCTTCAGCTGATCTTCTTCCACCATCTCTTTCTCCTCTAAACGTTCTTCTCATAAACCTAATCATCCTTTCATCACTCTCAACCCCATGATCTGTTTCTTCCCCTACGTAACTTGTCGTTGGTCTTTTCCACATTAATGCTAATTCAATCGATCTTATAAAATATTTGACTCTTTCTGAATCCGATAATCGGTTTATATACTTTTCTTTTGGCCATTGGATTGTAGAAGAAATCGAAGTTAATAAAGAATTAATTAAAGTTTCTAGTTTAGGTCCCTTGGTCATCATAGCTGAAATAGCAATCAAACCTGTAAAGAATTGTCCATCGATTGAAATTAATTCTTGGTTTAATTCTTGGGTTTCAACTGATCCAATTCCACTACCCGGTCCAAACTTAGCATCTCCTGATCTTCTTATCCTTTCTTTTCGTTTAGAAGTCTCTTTAATCCCATTCCAAACTTGTAAAACTTTCTCAAATTGGTTTTTCGAAATCGATTCCCAAGCCCATTCACCAAGTACCCCAATGGTAGGTCGATCACCTACCAAAACCAAGACTTGGCAACATCCTTTCCATTCTTCTTCTGACAAGTTTTCAGGTAAAGTCGTCTTTAACTTAATCAACACTAGATTTAATAAACTTAATAAAGTTTCACGTTGGATAGAGAATTCTAGTCCGGTATCTAGTTTATAGATTTCATGAAAACCTTTGATGATAGATGAATGAAAGGCTTCAGGATGTGATGTAGGTAATGATAAACCACGGTGTAGGTGGACTAAGGCAGCATTGTGGAGTGATGCGATTGATGCACTTAGGTGTGGGATCGGATAGTTTCTTGTTGGTTTTGGAAACGAAGGTCTTGGTGGATGAGATGAGTTTGAGTTTGAGTTGGTTTGATGAGATTTGATTGGACTTGAATGGATTGGAAAGATGATAGGATCGATTTGATGAGTTGGATAACCATAAGGAGGAATCGATCGATTAAACCAAAGTGGTGGATTTGATGAGTTGTTAGTAGTTGTTGTTCTTCTTGGTATTCTTTTAGATGAGTTGGATTGGTTTCTGATATTTTTGAAACTGGCAGTCTTCTGGGTGGTTCTTGATAAATTTATTTTCATTTTACAATTTGGATTTCTTTTTACTTCTTCATGGCTCATGGGACACACTTCACTTCATTTTCCAATACTCGACTCATCACGATAATATGCTTATAAACAGTGATTGATAAAGTCGGTCTTCATTCGCACTCGGAGTTTCAAAAAAACTTGACGATCCCAGTCTGAAGAATTATTTCTGGAACCAGAACTGTTCATCACCATTTATTGCTTACTCCATGGACGATAATATGATCAGTTCGGTAAATTCATCTTACTTGTGTGTGTTTTCAACAGTTTTCATCCAAGACATTCAATATCCATATTCTAAACCTCATATCCACATTATTTTGATTCTACAATTACCCATATTTGAAGTTCAATACAATCCAGAAATTGAAATGCTTTTTTCTTTGCTTGACTCTGTGTAGATCGACTCGATCAAATCGATAGCCAACCAATACCCACTCCAATCATCCGCCTTAATACAAGCTTATTCCGATCTAAGCGCCGGTAAGGAAATTCTTTTTCTTTCCCTTACCCTTGTACAATCAAATTTCATCTCGCTTAACACTCTAACTTCGCTTTGGGTTTTGAATAGCACAGCAATGGATTGATTTACGTATTCAAACTTGTTCTTTGGAATCAAATTCATCCAAGGTTGTTTTACTTAGAGGAAAACCTAATCTAACTGTAAGTCAATCCATTCTATCATATCTTTTTTTCGAACTTATCATGATTGTAGAACCAAGAAGTGGAATGATCGGTTTAGAAATGAATTTTTTTAATTCCTGATCAAAAGATTTTTCGAGTTGATTTTTTTTTCATTCTTCATTCTTTATCATTTTTTCTTCATTATTGTATTCTTGGAATCCTCTAACCTTTTAAAACTTTCATTCTTTTTTTCCTTAATCTTATTCATTTTCTTTTTATATATATGACTTTTTCAAACTTACATAGGAACCCGAAAGATTAGTTTATCCAATTTCTTTAACCCAATCCACCAATTTCAAAACGTAAGTCAAATCCCAATCTTTCCCTTTCCATTCCAAACCATTTCATCACCAAAGTATTCTAAAACTTTCAATCCATTTCTTTTCCTTTTTTTCTTTTTCATGGTAGGTTAAAAAATTTATTTAATCAGATTGGTTTTTCAACTCAAAAGATCTTACTAGCAATTATATCAAATGATTCATCAATAGTTTATTATGAATTATCAAATGGAATCGTTTCACCTAAAGAAGTACCCGAATAAACCAATCAAAAACGATTCATGATCTTTTTTTTCCCTCTTGTTTTGGAGTTTTGCAAGATAGGGTTCGAGGGTTCATGGTTTTTTTTGGATTTATAACTTTTTTTTAACAAAATATTTTGTTAGTATATTATGACTTGTTTTTAGTAAGGTCATCTGTCTTTTTTTAAAGAAGACTTGGTTCACTACATTGCTGTTGATCAAGCTCAGGAATGGGACTTTCGTATTGACTCTGTACTATCTCATATAGGTATTTGAAGACAAAGTAATAGAAAAAAAACTCCAATAGGATCTAGGAAATCGATTGTATCGTCTGATCTGTGCATTACCAGCTATTCAAGAAAGGTTTTAGTAGGCAAAAAGAAATCACCTAAACTAGAGTGAAGTGATGTGAAATGAATCTAGTCACAATCATAAGATAGAAAGGCTATTGTATGGGAGTCTGGGTGATTCGAGCTAAAACTCATGAGAAAAGCTTTTAGCCTGAATCGTCGCATAGAGACCTACATAGTTGAACTTGGATTGTAAAGGATAAGATATGCAGGATTAAAGCCAAGGACAGTGCAACTGATTCAAAGGCAACAAAAAGGTCCAATATGGGGCGGAGACTGAGTAAACGTATTACCAAAGATAAAAGAGGGCTATAGGCGGGTGGGATGGATATTTTATATATATATTGATTTCCTTTGAGAATAACAAGTGAAGAAGTGAGAACCGAAAACATTCACTTGATCATAAGTCATCATCAAAACGATGGTCAACAGCATCTCATTACGAAAAGGTAATGAGGGATTATTGCAAAGATTGTATCAAAATGAAATCACGCACTTGGCTTACACATCATTTCGTCGTGGCACACATGGCACCTGTAAATAACCAATTCTCGTGTCTAGAAGCTTCCTCCTAGTGTCCATGAATTTTGGAGATTTTGGTAAAACAAGAAACACAACTGAAGGGGGGTTTATGCCATATGATGATTCTAGAGTTTTCTTAGTGAAGCTTTCATATTAATATCATTGCTTAAATATTAGGAGCTCTTTTACATGATAATAGTAGTAAACTAGTTGATAGGATTCGATTACAATTGAAGTAGCTTTTAGTTAGACAGATAAATGAATGGATTGAAAAGAAAACTAACTGAAAAGTGATTCTGTACATGAAAGACGAAAGTGTGGAAAATGGGCTTTTAGAAGAGAAGATATGAGCGACCATAAAGACCATCCAAAATTAACATCCGCTTCTGTTTCCATCAAATTGGAAAGACGATCGATGATTGTTGAAGCCGTTGAGTAAGTTGTATATTAAATATTCTTAGGACGTGTTGGTATTTGTGATATCTTTCAATGCTAATCAGGCAAATTGCCACTGTGATTTAATAAAAGTAAAGTCAGAAAACCTCAACTAAAATATCAAACAAAAGAATTGGTGGCCATGAGACATCCTACTCACTTGCATACCGTGCAATCTACCTTGGTCTGGTGATCCTAGCTTTGCAAATGCACCAGGTGAAAAGTCCAAGTCAAAGTGAGAACATCCTGTACACCTGTCTACCACCACCACATCAATACTATTAGATCCGTAGGTTGCCCTGATCCGTTTTCCGCAAATCCTGTGATATCAAGGAAAAAGTACGTCATCTTGGTCAACTTTTCATCTCTATCTCTCCGATCAGTTCATCATAGTTTTCAAAGATATACGAACGGATTTGAGTTAGGGTTGGCACCTGCCCAAAAGGAATCGTATATAGTATGGCTAACAGCTACAATCATATCTTGATTTCCACTTTGTCGTCCACACGAGCCAAGACTTGGGGAGTAAACTGTGAAAGTCGTGGATCAAGGCGTTAGTAAAGCTGACCGGTATTCAATGTTTTCTGTTGACTGACATGTTGCATCCCCATGATAGGTCACAGCAGCGAATCTTTCTGTTGGCCGGGCCACGCGGTTTGGTTCCGAACGAGCCATGTGACGTGCTTCCGGATAAGAGTCGTCCATATGGTATGTTTCCGGATGAGACATATCCATTTGATGTGTTTCCGGATGAGCCATATGTTGTGTTTCCGGATGAAGTAAGTGAGGTGTTTCTGGATTACCAAATGAGACGTCCATAGAATCCGTCAATTCGACAAATCCCAGTAAAGAGATTGATTGTTTTGGTAAACCGAGAACAGATCGATCTGTTAAAGCGATCAGGGCAAGTATAAGCTTGAGAGACGATTGAAATTCCATTATGTTCATATCTTGTGCAGCCAGGCAGAAGCTCTTTGTTGAGTAGAGAGATAAGACAGATAATTAATTGAGATAAGGAGCAAAGGCTTAGGTTACGTCTTGATATGTGGGATGAAATCTTACATTCGCTTTTCGTCGGCTCATTGATGAGTGATATTTGAAGCCTTTTGAGTTCTGCCTTCTACTTTGTGGAATGGAGTAGCGGATCTAAATGAAGCTTAACAGCCCATTCATTTTGAAATTCTAACTCGGTTTTCAACCGTCCAGCTGACATTTAAATGTTGAACAATCTTCTCTTCTGAGTCTTTTAGGGGAGCCTCCAGCCGACTTTTCTTGTTCCTCGCTGTTGTCAGTTTCTTATACCTCAGCCCTAGACCATTTCGGAGTTTCTGCTCTCTGAATGGTGGGTGAACGATTGTCTTAAGCTCACCTTGGATCTTCGGCCTACAGAACTTCAATTTTTCATTCAATCATTCTTTTGTAATTTTTCGCTTTTGCTGAGCAATCTTTCTGGTCGGAGTGGCGCTAGAGAAGCAAGAACATCCACCTTCTCTGGCAATTTCTTGAATTTTGAAGTAGACCAACGCTGGAAAGGAATGCGCGCCCGATGGGCGTTTCCTCGGGAGCATCGGGATTCCGGATTATCTGTGAGAATTCTCAGGTCATTATACAGAACCACTTATAGACATACATGTATTTTCACATATCCTTGTAGCCGGACGGACCGCTCCCAATTTGCTGCGCGTGAGTTCCGTAGCCCCGAGCGTCACACCTCCAGCAACCCATGGTTCACATGCCACGCGACTTTTCAACCTGTCTGAATTTCTCATCTTTGCAAGTTCAACGTCCCTGGCCAACCCACATCAAATGAATAAAACTGAACTCATGTTCAATTCAAGATGAACCAACATACCAAATCAATGATTCAATCGAGCCAGAAACATGGGAACAATCATCAAAAACTGCTAAATCACAATGAGGACAACAAAAAGTCGGATCTTTGAATGACAAACTTATGAAATAATCGAATTCAATTCAGGAGATCATTCATGTTTTTGCTTGAGATGGAAATCAAAAAAATAGAAAACGGTTTAAGATTGAATTAGATGCGCTTGTTCAAATCAATAGACATAGAAAACGATCAACTCAACAGATCAAGATTCAAAATCCTTCCTCTTTATCTCAACATATCATCAATCAAGATTTAAGAGATGGAAGCTCGCAAAATACTGACTGATTTGAGTCGAAAGTGGCAGGATTCAACTTCAAGCGATATTTCACTTGAATTTCAATTTGATCACCAAAAATGAGTCAATGAGAGGTATGGAATTAGAGATTTTACTGGGACTGTGGTGTAAGTCGAAGCATGCAGTTTATTGTATATGTCCATCTTGTGATTGACATGAGGAATTTCACTGATGAATTATTTTAAATTTTATTTGCCTTTAACTTTAACTTTACCATTCTATTGTTTTTGTTTTGTTTTTTTGGATGACTAACTTTATATTTAACAAGAAAGCACAAAACAAGTATAAAAAGGTTTTTGGATCCAAAAAATTTGAATGAGTTTGAAAAGAAAAATTCATCAAAAGGTGATCGAGTTACTAAAATCAAACTTGAGTGAATCGCTTCATCTGGAGTGTAATTATTATTATGTTTCTCTTTGTCTTATTTTTCTCTTTTGTTGTCCTTCTTTATGATCATCAGAATGCAAAATAACAACAATCAAAGTCTTTGTCTTCTTTCGCATTTCTACTTTTTGGCAGGTGATCTTTGAGTGTCTTGTTTGAGGTGTGTGTGTTTTTACCAAGACCCCCGAAACGAGAATTGAGGTTTCCTTTGCTCAGCATTTACCCAGACTGGTGCACCTAAGAGATGACAGTGTTTATATTTTCTCATTACATTATATCTTGATTGTCTCTAACCTGATATCTTCCTCATTTTTGTGTGTGTTTTGGGGGTATTGATATATGGGATGAACTCATTATATCAATTTCATGACAATGCTGTAGATCTGAAGCCTTCCTTCTGCTTTAATTCCTATGGTGGATTGATACCAGAATCTCTTATCAAGACCTGAATCAACAAAATTGAGGGTATATACATGATAAATAGATGTTTTTGTGATGATTCACTCATATTGATCAAAGATGATCAAAGACCGTATAATTTGAACGAGATGGCTGGGATACTGAGTCAGATGAGGTCAGATGGGTACACGACTATGTATGTCAGTGTACTGTAGACCCATGAAAATGATTTGACTGCAGCAGCTGAGGGTCACGTGTGCCGCAGTCCAGGATCAAAAGTTTGGATACAAGCATCGGGCCTAACGCCTCTGTACGTGTTTCAGATGTATTCTCAGCTGGGCTCTGAGAATTCTCAGCCATAATCCGGAATCCCGATCTACCCGTTTCCTCGGGGCAGGCCACATAGAAATGTGGATAGGAAGCTCTGTTGGAAGTTGAGACTACGAATAGTGTTGTGTTTTCTGTACGAGTGTTGATTTTGATATGTTTCTCTTTTCGTTGTTGCTATGTTTGATCTCATTTGATATGTTCCTCTATCTTCTCATGCTGCTCTTCATTCGTGTCTTGTTTTCATTTTAACTCTTAGCTGCGTATGTGTTATCTTTTTCTTTATAAGCCATCTATGAGTCAAGGGTTTGATCCTCATCGATTTCAAACCCTCTTCATTTCACAACCTGCAATACTCTTACTTACGACGTTTTTATTGCATCGTGAATGACTCATAGGTAAGCCATTAGTTTACTCGTGTTTTTCTCTCTATCTCTCTTTCTCACTTATATTACTTCATGCATGTACAAACATGTTCTGTGGACCTGCTTTTTCGTAATAAATACTCTAAAGATCGATTTCAAACCCTCTTCATTTCACAACCTGCAATACTCTTACTTACGACGTTTTTATTGCATCGTGAATGACTCATAAGCTCGCAGGTAGCTCAACTTAAGGCGGCGATCCTCGGCGATCCCAAAAGCCAGTTTATAGACTATCAAATTTTACTGCCGAGCCGGTCAGTGACCATCAAGTTGAGCGAGTGAATTACACCCTGTACTTTTCAAGTAGACAGAGACGCCCACATATTCCAGACGTGATGTTTTCTTCTTTGTCAGGAAAATATGCACTCGTTGATCACCACGTCTTGAATCGACATGACCTATCTGAATTGGTGAAGCGATGCCTTCAGAATGATTCAGTCTTTAGAAAGAGACTCAGTGATCCAACTGAGATATTTTGATGAACTGTTCCCTTCATCGATCTTCAGTCAGGTCGAGTATTGTATTCCATGGTCAAAAATCAACATGAGTTACGCCGTCATGAGACCAACATCGAACTCAAGCCACAAGGGCTGAAGAGCAAAATCAACAGAGACCTAAAGTCACCTACGTTTAGTGACACGACCTCCGGCGTTTCATAAGGATGATGAGCGTGGATCCACGCAACTGAAATCGACCAAGCGGAAGGCAGAGATAGAGCTTTAAGGATTCTATGTATCACTGGCATATTACTTGGCCTCCATTGAGAGTCCATGGTTCGCGTAATCGACACCAGACAAGTTCAACAGTGACTTGGGAAACACTTACTCAGTTCTTGACATTTCTCCTCCGTGGTCTTGATCAACATCAACGCCTCCTCATCCTTGGTCACTTTACCTAATTGCATATATATCAGCATCAGCGCTATCAAGCACAACTGTTTCACCAAACCACTTGAAGCTCAATCTCACCATTCCATCAATATCTGTTGGGAAGCCCAATCATCGACATATATCCAAGGTAAGCAAGGCCAGACGTGTACATAGTAAACCTCAGATCAGTTTTCCCAACGAATCACTAAAGCTGTTGACAGCTTACACCGAAGAAACCGAATCCAAGACGTTTACGCATGCGCAAAGCTTTTGTTCAACTAAACCCGTGGCAAGTTGATCGACATTTGCCTTTGGAGCAGTACATAACATCATCTTGAAATTATTACTGACGCTGGAGATCGATCTCATTGACATTCTGAATGACTGGCACGAAAGAAAGTGAGCAGATAGTGCAGGCCGAGAATTTCCACGGCGACATAAAAGAACGGTCAACAATTGCTGATCAAGCAAGCGTGAACTCAAGCTCCTCGTGCCTCGGGCGGCCGCGTCCCCCAGACTCCGATCGGATAGTGACGGTTTCAAACCGTCCGAGTAATTGTTATCTGACGTCATTGTCATTTTTCGGATACTTGTCTCTTCAGCAGCTATTGCTAGGCTTCAAAAAAGTAAATAGATGTGTCATGGCATTTGCGGACAATGCGAAGCACTCGCCTCAATTGCTGAAGTGTACAACGAACAGACTACCATGAATCGCGATTTCGAATGCTACGCAAGCAACGTATGAGGGGGTTCCGAATGAGAGGTAAATAGATTTGCAAAGTGCTTTTTACAAGTAGCTAGTTTTGAGATGATGAATGAGCTCGTACAACAATGAATGTATCACACTGACTAACTTTGGTGCGAATAAAAAGAGTGCACGTCTAACGCTGAATTTCGTGCGCGGCTGGTAAAATAGCAAAAAGATATATGGACATCACATGGTCACACATAGAACTGAGAAAAACAAAAGCGAAGAGCTACCTAAGAGACTAATGAAAGACATTCTATGCTCTGAACGAGCGAAAGGAAATTACAAAAAAACTGTGAACTAGCACTTCTGGGTTACAAATGATCTGACTAGGAACTTTAACAAATTGAATTGCCGGCCAGGCGACTTTTGACATTGTGAGGGTTGGGGAAAAATCGAATGAAATTTACATGAAATGCCACTGTAGGATCCAATGTGATATCAATAAATGTTTTACAGGAAATGTAAGAGAAAGTCACTGACATTCATTCCGTGTAAACGACCTTTGTCCATGGGACCTATCAGGCCAAAGGCAGTAGGAGAAAAGTCCAAGTCGAAGATAGCGCATCCAACACAGCGATCTACTATCTGTACGATCACGGTTGCTCCTTTGTATGTGGCCCTGACTTTGCGCCCGCAGATTCTATTCGGGAGAGAGTGGTTCAACGTCAATAAATTTTGTTCACACAATGGCAGGGCATTTGTAATGTGGTACTCACGGATTCATATTCGGGTTCGCAGTCGCTCCGGGGAAGTTATCGAAAAGATGCATGGATGCCGCTGCAATCATCGATTCATCGGTGCTGGTGATACCACATGCTCCCAGTCCAGTGCCGTAGTCTAACATGAAGAAGAAGAGGTTAGAGTGCTTGTTTGGGATGTCATAGATAAGGATTATTAGCTAACAAGTGGCGTCACCAGAACGTAAAATGCCAGTGGCAGCCAGGCTGACTGTGCGATGTGCGGCTGCAGCAATGGCCGTAACAACTTTCTTCTTGTGAGAAGCTTTGTGTTTCTTACAGCGGTTGTGCTTGGATCGACGACTGCACCCATGGCGTCGATGACGAGCTTGATGTCGATTGTTGCGCTCCAAGTACTCCGCCTCGCCTTCTTCCGACTCGTCTTCTACTGAGGTTGGGAGAGTGTCCTTCTCCTCCTTCGGCTCAATTGAAGATTGGTTGGACACCAAAGTGTCCACAGCTGTCGAGACCGGCTGCTGACCGATTGGCGTTGGACTATCCGAAATTTCCGAAACTTGGGGTAGTGATATGGTTGCCCGCGTTTCGACCAACATGAAGGTGAATAATGCGAGACTGACGAGACAAACGATGACAACGTTTCGAAACATGGTGAAAATAGAGGATAATCTTGATAAGTGTGTAGGGGAGAAAGATTATCAAGATACAATGTGGATAGAAAGAGAGTGGTAAAAAGTCTTCGAGACGCAAATCTGTGATGATGAAACGATAAATAGAAAGGCAAGTCAGTTGGTACAGCTGGTAAAATGTTTGAAGGTGGTAATGTTTGTGATATTGGGGCAACAGGAAGTCGACGCGGGAGGGAGAAAGGGACTTACGAAATGCCTGAAGAAGGTATATAAGCGCTGGAGAGCGGTCAGATGACGATGATGATGATGCGAACAGAAAGGTCAACGCTCGGCGAGAAATGAAATGTGGGGTGCCTAAGGGACAGAGGCAAGAGCCAAGACTTCTGGGGTGCGGCAGACGATAAGCGTGTTCAAGTCGACGCGCTTAGGATGATGCGATGCGAATAATAAAGCGAATTGGTGAATAAATGCCGCTGGGATGTCCGAGTTGGATGAGCAAGAGTTGGGGTCAAAGTTGAATAGATGATGATAGCTGGGGTGAAGATAAAATTTTCAAAGTAAAATGTTTGATAATTGCACACAACGTTTGAGGGAGAGAACGACGGGATGATAATATAGGTTTTCAAAGTTACAAATCTTGGAAGAGGAGGCTTGAAAAAAGCGACACTAGAGGATGTTTAACGAATATTTGTTGCCGGACCGCTTTCCAAAGCCGATGGCAATTGATAGAAGAAAGGAGAGTGGAATGTTGGATGAACACAGTGTAGCCAAAAGACTGGATAATTGTCTAAGCTATATGTACCCGCTATTTGATGAATGTCAATGGCTCAGCTCAACAACTGAAATGCAACTGGCTTTGTCTCGTTCCACTTTGTCAGACTATTCATTACTAAAGCCTGAACCACTGCCTGCAAAATGAGTCTGAAATATGGCACTGTCCTTCAAAAGATCCGGGCTGATCCAGAGCTCAAACTCGATAAAGAAATACAATCGACTTCCTATCTCGCCAAGATGAGATCGTGATGTTTTGGACTGTGGGTTAAGCTTTCGTCTAGGCAGGACTCATATCTGGCCATAAAAAATCCTCCCGTGATGCGCTTGCGATAATCACATGATCCAAGAACGACTGTGTCGATATGGATTTCCAATGTGCTAGAATTCCTCAAAGGTTTGCGATACGATAGAGCCTGAGGGACATGTTTGGCGAGGGACTTTGGTAAGTTTGGGTACATGATAGCGTGTAGCATTGACACTTAAACAAACGGGGTGCGAAGCATAGTTGCAAAATGAATGAATGCGCGGCGCATCACGGCAAGTGCTCGCATACATAGCGACATCCGCTTGGTTTGATGATATTCAAATATTTCAGGATTTCTTGGATCTGGCTCAACGTATCCTTCACAAAAATCCGCAACGTGGGGATTTTGGGATAAAAGCCTGAGAGCCTGCCACTTGCCCTATCGACATCCACCTCTAAATTCATTGAAATAATGCTTGGTTGAAGAAGAACGAAATTTCAAGCTGTCTACAAAAAGGCTATCGTACAAGAAAACCAAATGACACAACTCCTCAGGCTCCATAGCCATCTCACAATATGTATTTACATTTGATAACAGAGAAAAAGAAGGTGAAAGTGAAAGGAGATAAGTCTGAGTGAATCATATAACTGATGTATAGCCGGGTGGTCCTTCTCAACTAGTCTGTTTCAACGATATTGAGTTTTGCGATAATCGACGGGTCTAGCCTAAGGCGAGATTCTACCACACATACATACATAAACGATTGAAGATTTCCACAGGTACGACAGTACCAATGGGGTGGGTGAAGGCAGCGTCTTGATCGCATCTACCAGTTGTAATGTAAAATCGATGGGCATAAGGCAAAAAGCTTCTGTGTCCGTTTTTCTGACAAAATTTCCGTTCGAACCCCGCCGTGGCTTCGCTTGTTGTTTAAAGCATACCTTTAGAGACGAAGTTTTCTAGCCTCACAAACTCCTCTACCAAGCCACCGTACTGTTGGAATCTATCAGCCGTGAAATTGTTCCCAAACATATTGAGCACCCAGATTTGGAGACAAGTATGGTCAGGTCATGCGGTATATCTCATACTGGGTGCCTGGAAAGATTTCTCAAAACAAGAACATACAGATCTTCGTCGGGTTCGGAAACTTTTATCAATCCGGCCTCAGCATCATCCGGGTCAGTACGGATTGGTACGATGAGGATAGAAGTACTGTTAGGAGTTGTTGGGGACCCTGGACGAGTGATACCGAGGCCTGGCGCAATCTTGACAGTCGAAAAGCTCATCCGACGCGGCGAGAGAGGGGAGGTGGCACAAAGAGATGGTTCAGGGGCCTCAAAGCTAGCAATAGAGGGAGTGATGATTGAAACAGATGGGCGACGTCCATCGAACGTCTCTCCTCGAAGTCGCTCAGCGCGATGTCGTAGCCTTTCGGAGAGGAATGTGCCATACGAGTCTGTCGAGCCTAACTGGCGCGCATGAGTCCATGCCGCTTTGTACGCGGCTCCCAGGCCGGAGGGACTGATGGCACCTTCAGTTCCACTGAAAGACGGCGAGTAGCTTGAAGGTGATAGTGATGTAGGTTGATAAACAGGTGCACCAAGTATAGACGAAAGCATATCAACCATGACTCGGCTGTCTGCTGCCTTCCCCATGACAATCAGACGACGCGGAAGAATTGTATGGTCATATGGATTGAACCCAAGCGAGCTATACACCATAGAGGGCTTGCGGTTTGGATTCTTCAATTGTCTAGCGGCTTGATATATCCGCGCGAGCTGCACACGCATATTCATGACTAGGGAGGCAATTAGGCACTTTGCTTAGCCACCTCACTATAGCCACTGCACACTGTTGAAAGGTGGAAGTTTCGGTCTCACATTGGGATTCAAGCAAGGAACGCGGGTTCGCCCTCCGGTCCCTAAACTCTTCTGTCCTCTGGCCACTCTCAAATCGCGAAATTCCTTGCCAGGCTCCAAGCTCACCCTGAGGCCAGAAAAAGCTGTAGAGTTTGTCGTCCAATCTATGTGCAAGCGCAAACCAAAAAGATTAGATAAGACTCATGGTGCGCGAGGGGTTGTACTCAGCAGAAACTACGAGACCATTGGTACAAACCCTATGCGTCCGCCTTCGGCAATCAAGGTCACTAGAGTATCAAAAATTTGCCAGGAGGCATTGCAGTATGCATCCCGAACGAAGCAGCGAGCCAAGCCAGCGTCTTTGTACCTGTTTACGTTTATTACGTATCAGTGATGATGTACATTCTTGTCAAATCAAGATCTTAACTTACTCCAAAACCGCCAACCCGGATATCTCGTTGGGTGTGCCCGAGTTGGTTGACGCGGGATGAGGTAAGATTTGTCGCGCAGGATCAGGTATGTACCCTGGAACAGGTAAAATCACTGAGTCCGTGTCAGAATCACCCAAGCATACTAAGGCATCTTGAGGACCGAGTCGATAGCTCAGGAAAGTCGCCAGGTGATGACCAACAAAAGAACAGACTTGACAATCTGCGCAAAACTCGTGTCTCTCTTAGCTACAATATTGACCATGATAGGTATGGCTGAGCTCACCAGGCGAAAATTCATAGCGGCGCACAAAATAACTCGATATTGGGCCGATCTACGGATGAAAGATGTCACACTCCAGGTAGGCTCAAAAGTAGATAAGGTTTCATACGGGTATTGATCCATCGAGTTGCGGGTCTCCTAGCTTTTTTTTCAGCTTGCTGGCTTCTTGATATGATTCGGGTAGGTTTGGATCAGTACCCATGACGATACTGAGCAGATGATGATCCCATCTACGTTCTGAGATGTTCCAAAGACTTCAAGAAATAGATACTTGCGATCAGGACAAATTACAAGTCAACTGCAAAGAAGATGGCAAAGTAACAGATTACATACTTTGTGCCAGCAGCATCGGCCTCATTCAAAGGTGCCATGCTAGGTAGTGATACAGAGGAAGATGAAGAGCCGCGGGAAAAGTGACGAAATCAGTAACAGGCGACAAATGCAAGTACAATATCGAGATCTCCGTTGCACCTTCCCAAAAATAATGTAGCCAAAAATGATGAGGCTAATGAGATTCGTTCGGTGGCTTCCAAGATGTTTCTACGAGTCTGTTGGAGTTTCATAATTTGAACACCTGGTGAATGATAATGAAGACGGAGTCAATTGACATGTTACACCCATTGTCAAGGTTTCTATCTAGGCCTCAGGAAGCTTACCAGTGAAGCGGCAAAAAGCACGACCCCCAGTTCTGCGCGCCATCTCGTGTGGACCGCCTACCATCCACTCAAGGGACTGCGCCTGTGTGACCGTTGACATGTCGTAAAAATTCGGGGCATTTGGCATGGTCCAAGTCTGCTCAGGTGGAAGCTGCTCATGAAGTCGTTTCTGGGGCGTGAGGCGAGAAAGGAGTGTGCTAGCTGCCTTTGACCACCAGACGGATGCATGGTGCTGTTCAAAACGATGTCATCAAAGAGCAGCTATCAGCTTTGATCGACCAGCGGACACCGGTAGATGAGATATTTAGGTCATACCTGAGCAGAACCACTGATACATTTGACCCGCTTGAGGTCAATTCTGGATGCAACCCGCTCCAGTATGATGTCAACAGCTTTCACATGCATGTGAGTCGGTGAAGTGGATACCTCTCCTTCGGTGTGGCATCCATGCTGAGTTCTGATATTTAGCAAGACCATCGAGTTATTGAGGAGTCAAAATTATCGGACCCAAATCACGGTATCATTAGTATATTGGCAGACACGGGGTAGGAACTCGGTACGTCTTGGTACACCAAAACTGCAACAGAGCTAGGTACTCGCCCGTATTCCGGAAGATCGACATCAAAATGAACCTCATCGGCCAGAATCACATCAAGGAGGTCATCGATGATTTGGACTCGCAGTTTTTCCGTCGAGAGGTCAAAAGACAAGAAATATGGTCTTTGGTAGTCTGATTGCGACTCGGATGATCCGCAGTGAGTGTGCTGATCTGAGCATGACCGACCAGAAGAATAAGGAGTGCCAGATTTATAGCTCGAGTGTTCTGACATCGTGGAGATGTGCTAAAAACAGAATGGTTATAGATAATTATCAGACAGTATTCAAGCAAAGCTAATCTCGGAGATCAGGCAGTCACCTCTGTTCAAGAGCACGCCATGATGTATCATTGACTCACGTTGAATGACAAACAGCCCAGGTACCAAAGTGATGCGAATGTTTATGTTTCGTGATTTTCTGGGAAGCTCTGCCTGGATGTTTTGTCAAGTGCAATGTGACCTCATGTCAGTCAACATGGTTTAGGTGGATACAGTAGTTTTACATCGTTGAATTGAAGCCCATCCGATCGTCGTCAGATTGCAGGCTTTTGCGCCATAGAGGTAGAAGTAGGAAACAGCTATATGACGATCGGACGCCGTGTAGTCATATCTAAATCGGCATGGCTCGAATAGGGCTTCGAGGCAGACGAGCACCTGTGTATGGCGGTAGTGTAGCTAAAATGGTATGAAAAGGATGAAACGCACCTTTACAAGATGTTGAGTGGTAGGATATAGTTATTTCGCCTGCAATATCTCGGTTTACCCCGTGCCTTTGGCGCGTCGCAGTGCGTAACTATGTTCACACAGGCATAAAACGATAGTGTGGATAAGTATCTAACGTGCGGGGTTTTTTCATGGGCCGGCCGATCGAAGCCAGCCAACCTACTTCGGGATTACCCTCAAAATGCTGATAAGTGGACTAAAGTGAACTAGAAGTGAGACAGATTGGGTGCAGTCTGGTGCAGTACAAGCGATCTGATTTCCCCGTGCAAGACGAGCGGAGAGTGAGACGGATGGAGCGGCACAAAAAGTGCGACTTGTCAGTGATCAGCTTTGGACAACAGGCATTGCCTGAAATGATCTAGAGGGGAGACAAGAAGGTGATCATGTGCTCACCTATCTTGTTGGACACCTCTCAATCCGCGAAGCATGCGTCCGGGGAGACAGTTGCCAGAGTAAAGGAAGCTTCGAAAGGATTGGTGGACTTGTACGTCTCAGTCAACCCGAAGTGACCTTGATTTGTTATCAAGAATCATAGAGACAAACTTTGGAATAGTACTCAGCGCTACGAACCGATCTTCGTCCTGCGACAGCTTGAAGACTTTCCGTCGACCAGAATAGACCTTGCGATCGATGACTCAATAATGGATGCAGGTTCTGTTCATGTGAGGCTGTGATTGACTCGCGGTTCACTCTGCGCTCGTGCTGGACTGGAGCTCCTCTCTTGCAATGCGAGGTGGCGCATAGCGGTAATTTCAATGGCTATAACGTGAGAGACAATATCAAAAACCTTTCAATTAATGAATAGATTGCCGCGCGTTGCAAGTTGGCAGGTCACGGTGGCTAGTGTATGTATTGCTGCATTTCGAATCACACCAGGTAAATTTTTCCTTTCGGCTCAGCTGTCTTGGAAAAACCCAAATCTTAAAATTGAGTCCCATTGATGGATCGTGATGCGAAACGAAGCTTTCCAATCTCCAGTCCGATATTGAGTATGATATCAGATACAGAATGAACTTGAAAGTTGATACAACATACATATTTCGGGAATATGACAAGGGACAAGTTATCACATAGTTTGATACTTATCGAAACACACCAGCTTATTTCAAGATGGGGATAGACCCCTTAAACAAAACTGACATGACTGGAGAACACATCTGCCAGGTTGTTTTTTTTCGACCTTGGGCTTTGACAACTATGTGGAGTGCTAACTTCCTGAAATGCAACACGGGGAAGACCTGGTAGAAGTGTTCCTTTGGCATTTTGATTTGGTCATTGTCAATACTATCGGTTTCACAAAGCTTGCCGAGACATCTAAGCCAAATTGCTAGACTCTCGCGGGAAAACTTGGACAAGCTTTTTGAATATGACAGACATGGATGGATGAGCGGATGGCCCGGCGCCGAAATCAAAAGCACTTGAAAAACAAGGAAGGAAGGAGGTCATATCGGGTTTGTTATTTTGTGAGCCGGGGCCCGGTTTACAAGCCCGGGCGATCGTGTAGTGGGTGTCGCGCAAAAAGCGCGCTTCGGGGCGCGCCAGACTGAGCTATCGAAACCAAGCTCGACAGTGGATGATCCAGTCCAATCTCCCGGAAGCACACAAATGCTATGCAGAATGGCAAAAATTCCTCAAAGCCCAAATCATCCTGGCCAAGACTAACCATTGGAAAACTTTTTTTTTTGCATTGCTTTAAGGGCTTTTGGAGCCGCCAGGCTATCAAGCACTATGTAATATGTTCAGCACCGGTAAAACCCCTCTGGCTGTGTCAGGGAAAGGTAGCTGTTGGCTGTTTCATCTAGTATACATGTGCATTTTTGTGTTTTAAGAAGGGGGGCGGTGAAGTAGGGGGAAGAAAGGAATCTTAGAATTCATTCAGGTGGTTGTGGTCTGTCATGCGGTCGTGGTTCGTCTGTGGCCTTGGCCCAGATCCATCTGTTTGCAAACCTCCACATGGAGTTGCAGTATTTGGCAATGGCTTTAAAGCTGCTGGGGTTGGACAGGATTCTTTTGTCCATCTTTGTGTTGTGCTTGTGGATGGCGTGTTTGAGTGTGTTTCGTTGTTGTTTGTAGTTCTGGCAGATAAAAAGAAAATGATCAACAGTTTCAAGCCCGCATTGACACCCACAGACTGGGTCAATTGGTTGCTTAAAGCGGTTAAGATAGGTGTTGAGAGGAGCGTGTCCTGAGCGCAGTTGAGTGATAGTGGCGATTTCATGTTTGAGGAGTGTAGAAAGTCCATCAATGTGTTTCTTGGGTTGAGGCTTGTGTCCGAGTCTCTTGATGTTGGGTTCGGTGAATGAGTTTGCTTGTTCTGTTTGCCATTCTTTTATGGCTGCTATGAATCCTGCTGTGTTTGGTATGTTACTAAATGTGCTCGGTAAGGATCTTTTTGCTAGTGTATTAGCAATCTTATCTGCTTCTTCATTTCCTGGTATGCCGTTGTGACCGGGACACCAACGTATTGTGACGTGCATTGATGGGAAAGCTTGGTGTAAGCACTGAAGTAACTTGAAGGTCACGTGGCGGTTGTCAACCTTTAGAGCCTACAAATACATCAAACCTAACTCTTCCAGTGAAGTAGCTCCTCTTCTTTGTCAAGATGGATCAGTAGCCACGGATATCGACGGACAAGCCAAACTGCTCTTTAAAGGTACCTCAATTGCCCATATAGAGGCTGATCTCTCTGACATACTGACAGGCTTATGGGATTGCCAACAAACAGTTCCACTCTCCTTCCCACTGCTTAAACCAACCGAACTGGAAAAGATCGTCACCAACACGCCAAACAGAAAAGCTAAAGGTGGAGATGAAGTGTCAAATGAACTGATAAAACTAGCATTACCAGCAATCAAACAAGAAATGTGTAGACTCTTCAATTCGTGCTTCGAACTCATCCATTTCTCAAATGTGTGGAGGACAGCAATCACAATTATCATTCGGAAAGCAGGCAAAGATTCGTACTCAGATCCCAACGCCTATAGACCTATTGCCCTCCTCAGCTGCTTAGGTAAAATCTTCAAAAAATTAGTCACAAACTGGCTAACCCAATGGGCTGAAAGTGATCAAATTATCTCGCCAAACTATATGGGCGGAAGAAAACAACATAGTACGGAAGACACCCTCACAATCCTCATCTCGTGGATCAAGAACCAATGGAGAATCAAAAATGTAGTCTCAGCGCTCTTCCTAGACGTCAAATCGGCCTATCCATCAGTGCATCGAGAACACTTCTTGCACATCCTGCATCAGAACAACTGTCCATCATACATGACTCAAATCATCAAGGGATTCCTAACCAAGAGATCCACCAAACTGCGTATACAAGACGGCTTATCTGAGGCTTTCACCATCGAAAATGGCCTACCACAGGGCTTGCCTCTCTCGGTCATTCTATACATCATCTATAACTCAGAGATACTTGGTAAAGAAACACCAAACCCCAAATCCACACAACTATCAATAGGATTCATTGATGATATTGTTCATGTAGTATCTTCACAGTCGCTTAAAGGAAACATTACCAAACTGAAAACTCAAGCTGACAGATCTCTTGATTGGGCTAACAAGCATGGAGCCATCTTTGATAAAAAGAAGGCCCAGCTCATCCATTTCTCAAACAGACGAAAACAGGAACCCCTCCCTTTCCAATTCGGCAACATATGGCTTAACCCAAAGAGTGAAGTCAAATGGCTAGGCCTCTGGCTAGACCCAAAACTATCATACAACAGTCACCTCCACCATGTAAAGAAAAAAGCTGATTTCACGCTACAACAACTACAAAGACTAAACAAATGTTGCTCAGGACTAGCAACCAAAGAAATCAAAAAGCTAATAATGGTGGCACTCATCCCAAGAATCCTTTATGGCAGTATAGTCTGGCTAACCCAAAAGACCCACAAAAAAGCTAACAAAATTTTGCAAACAATACAGAACAGTGCAAACAGAATAACAATTGGTGCTTTCAAAGGCACATCAACAGAAATGATCAATCACGACACCTATGTGTTACAGTTCTCATGGATAGCTTACCAAAGGCACCACAACTTTCTCCTGAAGCAACTCTCAGCATCAAAATCACAAAACTTCAGCATCAACTTCACATCCAACCAAAATCTTCATAAACCACAAATTATCCCACACTCCCAAAGCTCACCCGGGCCCTATCCAAGATGTCATGAAACTGAATGATTTTAAAAAACTGGCAGTGGAAAAGATTAAAACCATTTATGCTCATCCCATCGCCCCGTGGGTTGATAATATAGGTACATTAACAAATTTTGAATTGAACAAAGAAGATGCAGCAAAAGTGATTCCAAGACAAGTCAAAGACGAGGAGAAAAACAAGAATGCGCTGGTGATATTCACAGATGGATCAGTGACCTCAGAAGGGGGAGGCGCAGCAGCAGTCTCCAAAGTATTCAGCCAAGCCCAATCAGTTAAGAAAATTTCTCAAACTATGAGACAGAACTCCTAGGTCTACTACTGGGGCAGAACTGGCAAAAGATCTAACTAACCAACAACAACCAACACCCTCTGGAGTAGCATTTTTTTGCGACAATCGAGCCGCCCTAAGTCTCATCCACGAGATCCCCAAACAAGCATCGGGACAACACCTCCAAATCAAAATACGCTCAACCTTGAAACAACTACCAATAGGAAACAAAATCCGGTTTTACTGGACCCCTGGCCACAAAGGAGTGGAACTAAACGAATTAGCTGACCAAGTAGCTGGAGAAGCAGCTAGAACACTAACCACACTGATTGATCTCCCCACTAGTTTAGGTAGCTTAAAACGCCGCACTAAAGAAACGTTCAATATCAGAAATTTCCCATTTAAACCGGGTAAGAACGCATTCAACACAAAACCCAAGAAGATTGCAAAAGGCCTTGCAGGATTAGAGAAGGGAAGCACAGCCGCCATCTTTCAACTCAGAGCTGGTTTCAGCCCATTGAACAGCCACTTATTCAAAAGGAACCTGTCAAACTCCCCCCTATGTGAAAAGTGTGGAATAACAGAGAATACTCACCATTTTATTCTGTTCTGTAGACGTTACTCAAAACTCAGAAAACAAATGAGATCAGAACTGGAAGAAAACGAGATAAAAGTTGATTGGAACAACTCAAAAAGACTGCTGGATACGCCCAAAGCTTTTCCTTACATTGCAAATTTCATTTTAAAAACTAAAAGATTCCCACATTTTCATTCTTATCTACAGGATCAAACCAAAGAAAACAGCCGCAAGACAAGGAAAAACAATACTAAGAAATGAAAGCTGTCTCAAAAAAAAAGAAAAATCACACCAACCACAATCTGTTTGAAACCCAAAAGGGTCGGAATGTTATACATCCGGAACAGTATCAATCTAATTCGTGTTGACTTGTCCAATCCCAAACAAGGGTTCAAATATAACAACATTTGAGGCAGACAGTACACATGCATAGCTCAACACCAACTTGTGTGGTCAAATTCCAGAATCTCAGTACGGATCTCATCACTGTTCCTCACGCCCATAAAGCACTCTCTTTCTCCCCCGTGACTCCGGTTGACGCTAAGATAGGGGGTTAGAGAGGAGGATCAAATGCCTGCTCAGCTCTGTGGAGTCCCCCAAGAAGTTCAAGACTATATGACTCTGTACTTACGTTGAATTCCTGACGGGTGTGCTTGCACAAA